TGACATTTTTAATAAGAAACAAATAGTTATTGACTTTTAAGTATTACCGGCCTCTCAAATCAATATAATATCTGATTTGCTAACATTAATACTTGCATACCATTTGATTCAGCAACACAACAAAGCACCAGTCATTTAGATCACCACGCAATCGAACTATCACCACCATCTGACGTGACTTCAGCTGAATCCAACCACCAAGGCAACAACATTCCAGCAAATGTATCATTTTGGTTAAACCGCTACTATCGCAACCATATGACGAACCGATCATCATCGACATCGTCGATGGGATTAAATAGTTGTTGTCTGCAGGGTTGCTTCCACTCACTTGCTTAAAAAAAAGTATTATTCGGAATTATGCAATCATTAGATGCAATAATTCTATGTTGTACTTGTAAGTAACAAGAAGAAGTAGAAAAGTATGTGTTTGACTCATAAAACCTGTCAATTTCGCTTTGAGAGCGTCACAATTAGCGATCTTATGATTCATGAGCGTTCACTCAGAGTGAGCGCTCACGAGTCGTAAAATCGCTGATTGTGACGCACTGAATGCAATTCATGATTTCATAATTCCGAAAAACATTTTTTTATAGCAAGTGACTGGAAGTAACCCTGGTTGTCTGAAAGCTGTTTTCATTGCAGAAGATGAACCACAACCGGGGCAAATAAAATAAAATTAGCTAAATAGAACAGTAGGGAAACAATGGTGGGTGGACAGCACCATCCACCACGCGCTTTGGAGTACTTCCCATCCCCAGATGAAATGCACTATAGAAAAAAAAATGAATTTTTGGATAATACTGAGGAAGTTCTTCTGAAACTCTAAGGGAATTTCAGTTCCAAGGTGTTCTGAGTAAAAGTCAAGAAGAGTTCTAAAAATAATCTAAGAATAACGGACTTCTGAGAAGAATTTTAAAAGAGCTCATAGAGTTCTAAAAATTTCCTAAAGAACCTCAAGGAATTCTGAGGATGGACTTTTTCGCAACTGTACAAAGTTTTAAAACAGCTTTTGGATTCCTTAATTGAAAAATGGGTATTAGTTTGCCGTTGAACCTTGGTCTATTGTTGTCTTACTAAGAATTCGTCTTAAGAATCTTCTCTGAAAATTTCAAGTCATTTATTACCGCCGTTAAAAAGTTACAGCTGTTTATGTGCGTTGCATTAAGTTCGGGATAGTCCTTTATATCATCTTTAAAACATGTTGAATGTTCGGCATCATTTCCTGTTACCCTGACTGGCGGTACTTTGGGACAGGGTTGACATGCTCAATCCTTCGCACAAGTCGTCATTCCGTTAACAATCCTGTACTCGCTTGTCAAAATAATTTTGTGCGCTTTTCCAATCATTATATATGTTTTAAACCTTTTTAATGATCCTATTGTCCTTGGCATTAAGATCAAAATTAAAAAAAAAAGAATCATAATTTTCACTGAAAATAACCAAGTTCAACGTACTCGCAACAGTAATAGTAAAGTGTAACTACAACAGCATATAATACCTCATATGGCTTATATTTTGTAATATAGACTGTCTTGCAATGAGCACTCATACATAGGATTTCCAGTGAAAACTAGATGTATGAGTACTCATTGCAAGACAGCCTATATTACATGATATAAGCCATAGTCTGTTCGGGGTATAAGGGCTTAAAAAACCTTGAAATAGTCAGAAATAAACTGTAACGATGCCTTCAAAATATACAAAAACGTACTGCACAAAATTTCAGTAAGGTAACTGAATAAAAGATGATACCAGTATCTTGAAGAATATATTTTCTTTGGTTTATATTTTAACCTGTAAAGAAGAGCATGATCCAAAACATTATTACAACGATTCCTACATGGTTCAGAAATTAGAAGAAAGCGACCGATTTGCTGGGCCAACACAATCGCAATGATACCCATGTTGGTAGTATGGAAGCGTGGAAGAATTTCAAAACCAGGAAGTGTATCGACGAAGAACTGGACCACAAAAAACATCTATGATTGCTGCTAGTAAGGCAAAGCGGCTACAAAATCGCTATATAATGGAACGTTTCGTCGATATTGTCCGCATACTTTGCAAAGGTGGCCGACCACTGCAAAGCTGAAGATCAAATTGAAATCAAAATTTGCTGTTATGATGTAACTTATTTTGAATACTCCAGTTGATCTCATTTTGGTTGACTTAACGGTTAACACAGCAAAAATGAGAGCAAAATTTTACACTGTTGAAGCAAACGGAAAACTAATGCTACTTTCAATGAAATCAATTTGATTACTGATTTTGCATTCATAATGTTCAACTGAATACGGGCCTGGAGTAAATGGTTACCATTCATGTTTCTCAAGCTGAAAGACTTGGGCTCCAATCTCACCCCGGGCAAGTCATGAATGACCTAAAATGTGTTAAACAAATCAAATAAACAATAATCATTAGTTCAACGACAGATGAATTTCAATTAAATTTTAAACAAGACGTAAACAGCAGAACTTCAAGTTAAGTTGCTTTCATTTAAAAAATCTTGACTGCATAATGAAAGCACAATATGATATCAGACTTATGGTACAACATTTGAAATCAAAATGAGTTTTCATTATGATAGGAACTGCACACTTTAATATCGATTTGCTTTCATTTTGTTAACCGACTTTGCTCGGGGTGCCACCCAGTTGGTGGCTAACTACGATCCTGTGCTGGAAAAACACTTGGCGGAAGGTGCCAAAAATTGCCAGTACACAAGTAACCGTATTCAAAATGACATGATCACGTCGTTGCACAATGTAATGTTGCGGAACATTGCGAAAACCTTGCGAAGAAAACCAGTGGCAATCATTGCAGATGAGACGAGCGATTGTGGCCACCACTAGCAGTTGGCGATTGTCATCAGGTATATTGATAATGATAGCCCGACGGAAGCACTCGTGGGTGAGAGACGGGTGTTGAAAATAGACGCGACGACCATCTTCAATACCATTACTGAGGTCCTGACAGCGATGCAGATTTCTTGGAAGCAGTTGATGGCAGTATCTTTTGACAGTGCCAGCACAATGGCTGGCAGCACTTCTTGAGTACAAGCCAAGTGCAAGGACAAAACCAGCAATATACTTCTATAGAGAGCTGTGAGTGTTGTTTTATTTCCTTTTAATTCCATTATAATTGCTTATCTTTTGACAGATACGCGTATTTTGTCTACTACTTGCAGACTTCATCAGTGCCAACTACTCAACTCCACTGATCAAGATTGGATTGATCAAGAGTAATATACTGTTTGTTCACTGCTATGCGCACTGTTTGAACCTTGTATTTGTCGACGCAGTGTGCATGCGAAAGGACAATGCTATTCTTATTGGTCATTCATGTCGGTTTGTCGGTGCTATCATCACCATCTGACGTGACTTCAGTTGAATCCAACCACCAAGGCAACAACATTGCAGCAAATGTATCATTTCGGTTGAAGCCCTACTAACGCAACCATTTCACGAACCGATCATCATCGACATTGTCTATGGGATTAAATTGCCAATTCCATTGGTGGTCTGAAAGCAATTTGCATTGCAAAAGATGAACCACCACCAGAGTAAAAAAATAAATAAAATTAGCTAAAGTGAACAGTATGGAAACAGTGGTGGATGAACAGCAGCATCCACCACGCACTTTGGAGTACTCCCCATCCCCAGATGAAATGCACCATAGAAAAAAATGCCCCTCCTAAACAAGATTCCTGTGCACGCTAGTGAATTCCTCCGTTCATGCGGTCTCCACTAACATCCTCCGATGATAAATCCCTCATAATTGTAAGCAAATCTTATATCCTTCGGTTGGGCGTACACTCTTCAGTTTTTTTAACTGAGTTTTTAAAGAAGTTCAGGGACCTTCTTAGGAATCAATGAAAATCCGTAGAAGCTATGACATACGAAGTTGATTTCAGGGAACTTCGTGGATTGTTGGGAAACTTTTTTAAAGTTTAGGGAATTTTATATAAATTCAAGACACCTCATAGATCTTCCGAAATTTCATAGCACCTTGAAATCGTTTTAGAACTTCAGGTACTGTGTAGAAGTTCTGGAGATTTTCTGGAAGTGCAACACATTCTATCGGAGTTCAGCTATTAGTGTAAAAGCACAGTTAATTTTATAGGAAAAAAAAACATTTCAGTTGAAGCTTCTGAAAAAAAAATTGGCCAAGTACAGCTCATGATATAAAGAAGATGCCAAGAGTGGTCGAGTGCAGTGATGTGGACGAGATCCCTATAAACGAGAAGCTGAGAAGTGTCTTCAAAGTGCACTGTGATCTGGATCTCCCGATGTCAATCCGGATGAGGAAGGCGTACGACGGCATGCAAACGGCGGTGATACGGCTTTCGACAGTTGCAGCGAACAAACTGTTGGAGACGGGCAAGGTTGGGTGGTGAGTATGTTCGCTGAAAGCCACTCATCGGGTTACCAAAGTTGCACCTAACTAGAGGATCTCGAACTTAACTGTCAACAATTCAAAAGGCCTTGGTCTCCTGAACAACAATGCAGAAAACAGCAACTTTGTTTATAGCCTGGATCATGAGATATTGCATATACACAAATTTTTACAAGAACACTAGAGCCACCTAGTGAGGGAATTATGAACGAAAAAATACACTGTACTGTTTACCTTTGTAATCTAAACAACATTTTAGAAAACCGTATCCTTCTATCTAACTTCATTCTGAGAAATTTGATAAAACGAAGACACTAACACCACCTAGTGATTCAATTCCGAACTAAATTGTTTACCATTTTTAAGAGATTGGTCCATAGAACAATATTGGTGAAGACATGCATAACTTTTGAGCTCAATATTCTCTACAGTAACCAAAAATGTAACTGATCTATCAATACATCACTCGGCATCAAAGTGTTAAATAAGGTCCAAACACGCACTTAGCGTGAAGTGCGCAGAATATCCTTTCTTTCTTTCTTTCTTTTATCATAGATAACGATGGACTCGGTAAACCGAACATAAAAATCCAAAACCCCACTCACCTGCGGCTTCCTTCAGCAGATTAACGCAAGCATCATGTCCACTGCGATCCGCCAAATCCATCGCCGTCAGTCCGTTTCTATCTTTGACAACAAAGGACGCGCCTGCGTCCAACAGCACCTGGACATTGCTCACATGTCCGTGTTCAGCACTCAAGTGTAATGCAGTCTGCAACGAAACCCGATGGCCATGTAATTAAACTGATCGGAACTTTCAACCAGGAAACACTCACCTTACTATCCCCCCGCGGTCCACACTTCGCATCGATGTTCGCCCCGGCATGGATCAGCATCGGCAGGCACCGGGAGTCGGCCGTGATGGCCGCCGCATGGATCGGGGCCCGGCCCCACGAGTCCAGACAATCGATCAGGTGCACTTCCTCCTGAAGCAGGTCCTCCAGCAGTTCCACATTGTCCCACAGGGCCGCCTTGAGGATGGAAAGGTTCTTATTAATCGCCAGATCCAATATCCGAAGTTCGTGAATTTTGCGACACAGAAGCATTGCCCCGAACCGACGACGACGTCGAACGCTAGCAACCGCGGCGATGGTCACGAATCGACTAGCCGGTGGAATGTACTAGTTTGGCTGTCTGCACTACGAGGGATTAGTTAAGGCTGGTGGGAACAAAAGCGGACTATAATGTCCGTTAATGGGCGGCGACAGTGCAAACTAGGAGGACGACGAACGATGCGATACATAACCCTAAAAAGTTGGTCAGTGTGTTTCCACCTATTTGCAGCTTTGGTGGCTTTTTCCGACGAGCCCAATAATGCTTCCCGGTAAAGGAACAAATAGGATTTAGATTAAGTCATTGTAGCAAAAAAGGTGCAATCCGGAATGATGTAACGTGCAAATTCAGGATCAGATCTGTTGCGAAACAAATTTATAAAAGTATTCAACTGAATGAGAGGTTAATTTGACTAACTATATAGACAACACACGTGCACGATGAACACGTTACGAAACACTTGGGTCATTTCTTCAAACAAAAATAAACGTGCATTGCGGTAAGTTTTTGCGTGGCGCCCTCGTGGGCCGATAATCCGAAACACGTTTGGATTATATCGATAAAAGTACATTGTAGGTCCTCGCGTACAGAAAGCAACAAAGTGAAGTAAGACACGGCAATACAATAGACAAGTAGTGTAAGGTGGGACAAGATGGGTCACGAGGCAAGATGGGTCATCTATTTGATTTACTTATTTCAGTGCTAACATTTCAAAGGGGCGTAATTGCATTTGTAAACAATTGCTAATTTGGAGGAGTGGGCTTTTATTTGAGAGAAATCGACGGCTAAAGCCATTGTTTGCTAAAGCAATTACGTCCCTTCGAAATGTCGGCACTGATTTGTTTGTTTTTCAACATCAACAGGTTCAATGTATTTTTTGACATAGAACTACGTCTTTGCCGACTAAATATTGGGATGCAAATAAAAAAAGTGTGGAGGAATAGTGTTAGGTTTTGAACACTTGTTTGTAAATTTGTCATTTATAGATGAAAATGAAATCCAAATACGTCAATCGATAGGAAATAACTCTACGAATCTACTAAAGCAAGTACTTCTCGAATTTTCCATAAAAAAAAACTATTGAAAAATGTACAAATGACATTGTTATCATTGTTTTCATGAAATAAACGATTTCCCCAAACCCAGTCGTCATAATCGAGTACCACTTGGTTGCACATCGTTTTGCTTGAACCTGAAAAGTTATCAAACAGCGTCTGCTGTCGTGTCTCTGCTCTAGGATAGGGCAAACTTCCGGGAAAGATGGGTCACGATGGATCGAATTTATTTACAGCACTCCCGGCCTCCCTTAGCTCAAAACCAGACCATGCTGGCGGTGGTTGGGTTCGATTTCCGGTCCGGTATAGGAATTTGCCACATAATTATACTAATGCAAAAATGGTGCATGCATCGAAAGCTCTCACTGTGGCACTGTGGAAGTTCATCTAGAACACTAAGTTAATTTTTTTTACGATTTTTACGCAATAAGCTAATATGCGGTAAACTATAAGCTTGAAATGCGAAGAAGAAGATGATTCATCGATCTTTTCTTAATAATGCTGAATTATATTTATGCAATTTGAAAGAAATAACAAAAGCCACATTTTCCATTTCCGTTTATCCGTGTTTTTCAAGAGATTTGTTTGTTTATCAAAAGAACTCATTTGGAAATTTCTTAAATGGAGACGGTAAGACAAAAAAGGAAGTGGAATCATAGAGTCAGCAATGAAATTATTGCCACAAATGCTTTCAATTATCAAGTTCAATTGTAATAATGTGACGGCAGTCATCATAACCCTATTCATGGAATATTAGCTTGGATACGTGGAACTACTTGTCTTCGTTGTCACCTATTTTAGTTATCATTATGAGCCATTATGGTGATGCAGATGTTTTGGTTATGTTCAGTAAACGGTTTTACGAAGAAATTATATTCATTTGTTTCTTTGGAGATCGAAAAGATCGAACAGAAAGATCGATTTTTACGATTTTTTAATAAACAAAAAATCGATCCTAAAAATCGAAAATCGAGATCGATCTCTCAAAAATTGATCGAAGATCGCCCAATCCTACTCTGCTCTTTCCGCTTCGGATGGCGTGACAAGCGCTCTGCCGTGATGCAGAAACATTTTCCTCGCAGCAAACGGAGTGATCACCTTGACAACCAGCCATATTTATCTTTCATTTGTGCAGAGTCAACCGGATGATATCGAGCAGGTGTGGAATGAGCTTTAAGTAAGAACGATGTCGTACCGCTCATTTTCGCATCGGACAACGTAGTGATCGAACAATCGTTCCTTCTCAGGACCAACTCTTTTTACAGAAAGAGTTATAAAGGCTGACTAAAAGTAAATTTGTACGCACAAAAAGACCTGTAATTTGTGATTCAATAAGTTTAAAAAGTCCATTAATGCTTGTTTACAGTACTTTTATCAAAACTTCATAGTTACAGCATTAGATGGTTATATTTCTCCGGTTCGAACGAAATCTTGAACCTTCCTCTTGACGGAGCCCATCAGCACCCGCACAGTGGAAACGGACGCAGAATCAGCGCATTTCTTCCATTTTGCCCGCATTTGCTGGATGTCCTTGACTGCCCCTTCGTCGAAGTCGCTGCTTTGAAATTGTCCAATATTTTTCAATTGGTCGAAGTTCCGGACAATTCGGAGGATTTATTAGCTTGGTGACAAAATCGATCTTGTTGGCAGCATACCACTCCAGAACCACCTTGGAGTAGTGGCAGCTGGCCAAATCGGGCCAAAAAATGACCTTATCCCTATGCTTGCGAATGAACGGTAATACACGCTTTTTCAGTCATTCTTCGTTGTAAACTTGGGATGGTCATTAGATTGATGCAAAATTTGACTTTTTCGCTCCACAATACTTAAACGATTCCAAATCGGATCCTGACTAACCTCTCAAAATTTGAACCCATTTAGTAAGAAACTGAAATGGCACAAACCATTTGAAGTTTGTATGGGAATTACTATGGTAAAACCAATAATTCACCATATAGGTCTGTTTCAAAAGCTTTCAACTGTACTTGTAGGAAATTTTCCCAGCTACAACTTTTCTGAACACCACTTTTTGATTAAATGCAAGAATCGAAAGTTATCAATGGTTCAATGCGCTGATGTCTTATGATCATGCTCAACCAACTGCTCTGCAGGCAACATTGGTGTTTCTGGGGCGTTGAATGATACAAAAATCATGGCTACTATGTCACACTGCAAAATACAGTGTTGCCTACAGAGCAGCTGCTTGATCATGTCATAAGTTTACCAATCTCTTAAATAATTAATAACTTTTTCATGCCTCGTTGTACATAGAAACGATTTTGAGCAAAGTTGTAGCTGAGAAAATTTTCTATAAGAATGGCTATCGAACTGTTTCGCTGCTCAATATGGAAAAAGACTAGAAGGCAATAAACAAAAAGTTGCGATTTCCCATAGTAATTTACATGTAAACTTCAAATGGCTTGTGCGAAGTCTGTTCCTAACCAAATGAGTTGTAGCTCTGGGAGGCTAATCAGGACCCGATTTGTAACCATTTAAGCACTGTGGAGCGAAAAAGTCAAATTTTGCATCAGTCTAATGGTCATCGTCGAGGATGTGACGAATGGTTCCGTTTTCAGGTCACAACTGCAAATCGCTTGCCACCCTGCGCTTCGGTCAGAGAGCGTATAGGGCGTCGTTGTGCCAATTTGGTCGTGGCACATTTCGAGTATGAGAGAGTAATTGCAGTTAGCTCAAAAGTGCCTGAGAAAAATGCAAGTACTTCCGCAGATTACCCGAAGTTGCGATAGTGAAGGTATGATCACAGAAAAGCAGACATAACACTCTTAAAACGTTCATAAAAATCGTTTTTAACGGTCAATTTAAATGTTTCTTAGTTGGTAGTACTGCCATTTGTGGTGCACATAATCAATTCCCTAGCGTTTGACGTTTACACACTACAACCATCTGTTGAGTGTATTGCCCATTAAAGTATATACGACAGATGGCGGTAGGGTTTACAATTATAAATTTTCAATGTGTTGTGTATGCTTGTCTGTGAAATAACATTGAGGTAACGTTAGGATAAATTCAAAACATTGAGAAATATTACGCATCACTTTCAGAAATACTTCACTTCGCAACCGATGAACCATTCTGACGGCCATATGAGTATCCAAGTAACCATATAGTCGCAATATAGCTTGTATATTCTGATGAAACTGTCACTTCTTGAAACTGATCCCTTTCGTATTTCTTTCATTCTCCTTTCGCAAACGGAGCGCTCGATGGACCAGTGACTTTGGACGTGAGCCTCGTCCCAGATCACCATGGCAATTCAATAACATATGGTGAACCGACCAAAAAATGCGGAATCATATTAGAACCAACCAACCAAGGACGGTCTACGGAAGGAAATTGCCGGTGAAGCACGGAATGAAATACGAAGCGTTAGAGAAAAGGTCCAAGGGATTCCAAAAGAAGCAAATAACGACTGCGAAAGAGCAGAATATGGTGAGAGCTTTCCATTTATTTAAAAAAAAAAATAATCAAAATTACACTAAATACATGCCAGGGTTGAAAAGAATATTTTCGAACCTGGAAGTGTGTATGTATCACCAATATCCATTTGATAACGGTGATGCATACAAGCGGGGCTTATTGTGAGTGAAAGTAACCACGGAATGGGCGTGGCTCTCCAGACATTCTGAAATGGGTTGCTGGATCTGCAATAGAGCTATCACCTTCTAACTCCCGGACTAAAGCTGTCTACAATGACCATAAATGCAACATTGTAGAGAGAGTTCTTCCATAATAACACTGCCGGCCAGTGGGGGTTAGAGGGAATACAGACACATACACACACACACACACAACTGCAAATCGCTTGCCAAATCATGGCCTTCTTCGCGAACTCGGTCGGCAAA